TTCCTGCTCATTTTGCTCAGCAGTTGTTAGGCAATTCTTGCTCAACTACACCGTTTTGCAACCAATGACTTTAATAATAAGTAAAATTACTGTTTTCGTTTAAATGCCTGACTTGACATATATATCAAGGTAAAAAGAGAAATTGCAAGTAGATAAATAGGTACCACTTCGGTGGGAAGGTAACAGCGTTCCGTGCGCCTTGGTGTTTAGTCATGCCGGCCACATGACCACGGAAACGTCTTCGGACAGCGCTGGCTCTTCAGCTTGGAAACGGAGATGAGCACCACAACCCTAGAGTTGGATTCGACTGGCTTTCGAGCAAGGGAACCTTTGCCTTTACCTTTAAAAAGAGAAGGTGGGGAGATTCCTGTCTCAATTCCATTTCTACAACTGATGAGGTTCTTGAAGTTGCCGTCTAGGATAATTTGGACTGGGCAGTACGGAATGCCAAAGATTCTTTAAAGAGAGGGTACAAAGAGACAGTTTCCCTTCTGGAAGGACTCCTGCCATATCTCAATAAGTCTTCAGTGGTGACAGCAGCAGAAGAAACCGTATTTCTGTTGGTGGGGGGGGGGAACCTGGAGAACCGAACTCCTCACCAGGGTCTGGTGACTTGGACCAACAATAAAATTTCACATTCCCCGCCCTGTGGGACATGGAAGCATTTGTCACAGATGTATCCAGATCTTGACGCATATCCAGAAGCACAATCCAGATCTTGACGCGTATCCAGAAGCACAATCCAGATCTTGACGCGTATCCAGAAGTACAATCCAGATCTTGACGCGTATCCAGAAGCACAATCCAGATCTTGACGCGTACCCAGAAGCACAATCCAGATCTTGACGCGTATCCAGAAGCGCAATCCAGATCATGACGCGTATCCAGAAGCACATCCACCTACGTGCTATCTGTGCATGCGGACCATTGCTTCTGCCGGTGAATCTCCTTTGCTGGAGACTGTGGCACCCAAGACTTCAGAAGAGGAGGCACTCTTCCCTGTTTGGTGCCATGATCCCCACTCCCCTGCTGGCCATGGTCACCCTCTTCCCCGTTCTTTGCACCTGTCCTCCACCATCTTGTTATAAACTTGCGATACCTGCTGACGTAGACTGGCTGGCAGTGTCTTGGACAAGACAGCCCAACGTCTGCCTCCCAGTTTTGCATTTAAGAAACTCTGGTAGTGCTTAGCTGATTTGAGCAAATCTTCAAAATATGACTTGTGTGATTTATTCTACTTGCATTTGCAGGTGGCAGGATTCACGTTTGTTAGGAGTGGCGGCTGCCGGTCCTGGCTGTGACCTCTCAGCACGCTGTGGCCTATGGAAGCAGGCGGGTTCCTAGACCCCACTGTGGGTCCTGCCGCTCTGTGGGCCCCTGCGCTGTTGCAGAAGATCCTGGTGCATCTCAAGACGCAGGTGTCCTTTTGAGACGTAAATCTGAGACGCAGGCCATACAGGATGGACGAGTGGGTCTGGTCCCCCGCTGGTCCCAAAGTCCCCCTAAAAATCCTCTCTGCAGTGGTGTGAAAAGGAGGGTGCTCTATACGGAGACAGCGGTGTCAGGCAGAAGCTGACACTGTAGCAACGCATGAGCCCTTCTCTGTGGGGATTCAGATATTTAGCTAACACAGCTGTTTTATCATTCCCTTTGAACCTGCCTCTTTTGTTCTTCTTCCTATTGCAGAACTGTTTAATTCCCAAAGGAGCATTTTCCTCTTTCCTTGGTGTTAAGTATTCTTTTCTTTTTGATGTTTACCTGGGTCTGTGAGGGAGAGGCAGCTTGCCACTCTGACACCCCGTTCTAAAGTAGGATTTTCTTCACACAAACACACACTCGCACACACTCACACATAGGCAAATGCACCTGTGCCTCTCCGCAGAAAGCAGGAGAACATCTTGGCAACGTCGACAGAGCACTCCCCTCCCCCATTAACAAATAGCACCCCCACCCCCGGATCCCACAAACTGCAGAAGGCTGTTGGCCCGATTGGGTTATCCAAGACAAAGGACAACCTCTTCTTTCCTGGGCATCTTCGGTGATCTTGCCGAGGCCCCAAAGATCCACGTACAAAACCCCACCCAACCCACATCTACAAACTCCCTCCCTCCCTCTGAGGAAATCCCTGGGGCTCCCTTCCTTCCGCAAGCCCTCTCAGTTGTCCTTGTCCCCATAGTCATTGTACAGGACACTCAGGGTCTGCTCCTCGCATGTCTTCCTGAGGTCCCGACTCAGCTCCGACCAGCTGAACCCGTACGGCTTGATCTCACTGTAGCGGCAGGCGAGGAATTTGAGAGAGCTGCGCTGGAGGCCAATCTTGGGCTCCTGCAAGAGGCCGTGACACCAGGCGCTGAGGTCTCCCAGCTGAGAGAGGATGAGGCCGGCTTTCCTGGAGAGGGTCGGGAAGTGGGAATGGAAGAGGGGTGGAGAAAAGTCAGAGAGATGGGAGGACGGACAAAAAAAGAGGTGAAAGGGAACACAGGAAAACGGGCCGGTCCCTTCCTTTCTTTTCACCTCCTGCCCTTCCTTTCCTTTCCTTTCCTTCCCACCTGTCTTCCTCTTTCCTGCACTTTCTCTCTTCCTAACTCCCTAACTTCCTAACTCTTGCTCCTAATAAGTGAGCAAGAAGGGCATGTTCCCTTGCCTACAAAATGGACTTGAACCTCCAGCTACCCTGCCAGCATATTTAAAGTCCATGACGGTTCCCCGATATTGAGACTTTTTTTGGCTGCTAGATTGAATGCCGTATGAATGCCTGGAAATGAATGGTCACTTTTTGGGAGTTCCCTTTTCAGAACGCTGGTGTTTCTGCAATACGGGGAAGCTAGGTACCTTGGCTCATCTAAGTCATCGGATGTCCCAATTTCAATGAGGAGAGATAGAGATGGATTACCTCGATACTTGAAAAGAATGAGCTCACAAATATTAATTAGAGCCTTTCTTTTCTTCTGCACGATAAGGACCCATATGTCACCAGGTCACTGGCATCCTACCTTTCAGCAATCCAGCTTAAAATTAAAAAAACTTCTGTGACTGGAGTAAAATCCCCCCCGCCCCGTGGGATGAGACTTAAGGCTGTGGCCAAAAGAGCCATAACGTAAAAGGAAAAAGGAAGGAACTAATAAATGAGAACATCGACAGTAATAACCAATCCACTTTGAAAGGAGTGCATTCTCTTTGATCAGTGATCATTTTTAACTGGCCCCTCCTGGTAATGTCTTCCCACACCAAACTTTCTGTTGCTTGTAACTCACTATAAAAAACTGTTCTATGGATGTGCACTCCTTGCATCAGATGAAGTGAGCTGTGACTCACAAAAGCTGATGTCGGAATAAATTCCGTTAGCCTTTAAACTGCCACTGGGCTGTGCTTTGACTTTGCTGCAATGGACGGACGTGACCATGTGGTCATGGTGGAAAGTGCCATCATGCCGCCGTCAACTTATGGTGACCCCTCATGGGATTTTCCAGGCAAGAGACATCCAGAGGTGGTTTGCCATTGTCTGCCTCTGCGTAGCAACCCTGGATTTCTTTGGTAGTCTCCCATCCAAGGGCTAACCAGGGCTGACTCTGCTTAACTTCCAAGAGCTGATGAGCCAGCCAGGTCAGGACCAAAATGGCTGTCCATCTGGAATTATTAGAAACATAGTTCATTAATCCTAACAACTTGCTTAGCACACTCCTCTGCTTTTCAGGCTTGGTGGTACTTGCTTTACACTATTCTCCTTGATGTTCCAGGTTTTTCTATGATCTGTTTTATATGCTATTTTGGAGGGAAAAGAAGTCAGGACTAAATTCTGGCAAACACATCAAAGCAACAGACAGAAAACTGGTCTGCCTTGAAGTCCAAAGGGTTCAGATGGAGAACGGCTAACGTACCTCTTTGTGACGCCGGCTCAGGGATCGGCTCTAAGAGGCTCTTACCTGGGCCCAAGTTCATCCTCACATCGCCAGGTGAACTCCCCAAAGCTCTCATAGTGCTGGTTGTAGTGATAGAGGACCCGGTGCAAACTTGGCGAGCCCAGGTCCAGCAGTGTGTTGTAGGCAGTTTGCTGTTCCTTCCCGCTAGTGTAGCCGTTGAAGAGGTTGTATATCTTGTCTGCTATTTCTGAATTTAAAAATAAAATCAGAACACATGAAATGACTCGCGGGCATGCATGGCAAAGGATATTTTACAGCAGTAATCTGCCCTTTCTTAAATCTTCCCCATTTATTCAGTAAAGGTAAAGGTTCCCTTGCTCGAAAGCCAGTCGAATCCGACTCTAGGGTTGCAGTGCTCATCTCCATTTCAAAGCCCTGAAGACGTTTCCGTGGTCATGTGGTCGGCATGACTAAACACCGAGGCGCATGGAACGCTGTTACCTTCTCACTGAAGTGGTACCTATTTATCTACTTGCAATTTCTTGTTTTCGAACTGCTAGGTTGGCAGGAGCTGGAACTAGAGACGGGAGCTCACCCCGTCATGCGGCACTCGGATCTCAAACTGCTGAACTACCGACCTTCCACAGCCTGCAGTTCAGCGTCTTAACCACTTGAGCCACCGCAGCTCCATTTATTTGCATGGTGGTAATTCTGCTGGTGTCCTCATGGTCAGCTTGTGATCTGAGAATCCAAACTGTAGCTCGAAACACACCCCATTGACTTCAAATCTAAACAGACTCTTGGGAACAGTCAGAAATGTGACCAGTTCTAGAGCCTTGCTGTCTGGTTTTGTGTTCTCAGGTAATAGGAAGCAGGAGAGACTGGGTTAGTCATGTCTTTGTACACAAAACCCTCTTTTGCCCAATGGACGGGTTCTGTGGCTCGTACCACCATGGTTACCTTGAGCCTTCACATCGTCCACCACTGGACAAGGGGTCTTCACTGTCACGTCACTTGAGCGGGAACGTCTGCCTGTGTTGTCTACACCCCAGAGTGTGAACCTGGTGAGAGAAGAGGAAATAATGTCAGATATGTTTGGCTGGCATCTCCCAGCCAGTTCGGTTCCTGTTGCAAAGTTCAACCATGCAATCCGGCTTCCCCTGATGGGCTGATTGACTGATTCGCAACAACTTCCAAATCTTACAGAGTTGGGGAGAACTTATTGGGGCTACAAAGTTTAGTCAATTGACAATTTGGATTAACCAGTCCAAAACCTTTGGGTTGAACAATTCAGGTAACATATTTTTCTGTAAAATTAAAATTATATTAATTATTGTTCATAGATTTATAAAAATGCAGACAGCAGGCAGCTTCACAGAGCAGGCATTTCCTTTTACACAATAGGGACTGAGTCACTATAAACAAAGCAAGCGTGATTTTCCATGACAATTATTTTATTTATTTACTTGTTCCCTGAAGACATCAAAACAGCCTGTTCCAGCTGCACAATGTTGGACCTATGGGCTGACTGAGAGGATGGTACACTGAAGGTCGACCGCCATCTTTTATCAATAACTGTTAGCGCCTTTTAATGTTATCATTGTTTTATATTGTTTTAAAAGGTAAAGGTTCCCTTGCTCGAAAGCCAGTCGGATCCGACTCTAGGGTTGGGGTGCTGATCTCCGTTTCCAAGCCGAAGAGCCAGCGCTGTCCGAAGACATTTCCGTGGTCATGTGGCCGGCATGACTAAACACCAAGGTGCACAGAACACGGTTACCTTCCCACGGAAGTGGTACCTATTTATCTGCTTGCAATTTCTTGCTTTCGAACTGCTAGGTTGGCAGGAGCTGGAACTAGAGACGGGAGCTCACTCCGTCACGCGGCACACTCGGGTCCCGACCTTCCACAGCCTGCAGTTCAGCATCTTAACCACTTGAGCCACCGGTTATCTAAATTATTTACTGAGTGTTTTATTCTTTTGTAAGCCGCCCGGAGCCGGCCTTGGCTGGGAGAGCGGGATATAAATCGGACAATAAATAAATATAAATAAAATTGCGGCAATGTGAAAAGGCATTAACACGGCACATTAAACAATGGAGAAATTACATAGTAGGATCGTACTTACAGCAACACTATATGCTATACACAGAAGTCCTGTCCACAGTTGCTATCCCTTTAGCAAAGAATCATTCTGAACCATTTAATTACAGCAACAGCCCCGTCACACACGTAAAAAATGTCCCTCCTGAATAATACCATTTTGCACAGTTTGGGGAAAGCCTCTGAGTCTGCTCTGTGAGGAATGCTTTGAACCCGTCCAATGCACATCCCTTGAGACCTTCTTCTGCCTCCAAATGCCTCAACAAGATGCATCCATTCTATCAAAGGCTGCGTATAAATCCAGTAGGAGCAACGGAGAGCTGTGGGCTTTGTCTACATTCAAACAGAGCTCATCAGCTAAAGCCACCAGGGCTGTCTTCGTCCCAGAGCCCAGCCCGAAGCCAGACTGAAAAGGGTCCAGAGCAGCTATCCAAGAAGACCTGGAGTCGGTCCACTACTGCTCTCTCTCTCTCAGTCCCCTTGCCTAGAAAGGGCAGATTAGAGGCTGGGCAACAATCAGCCCCATCATTTTTTCCGTAGGGATAGCTTTTTAGGTAGTGGATGGATAACCACCTTGCATCTGAAGACGTGTCCCTGCACACGAAAGCTCATACCTTGAATAAAACTTTGTTGGTCTTAAAGGTGCCCCACTGGACTCAAACTGTGTTTCACCACTGTGGTTGAGGGAAGGTGCCATGAGTTGGTGATTGATTTATAATACGTACTAAAGGTTTGTTGATATAGCCCTTAGGTGATTGTAGCAAGCAGGATGGGAGAGGATCCAGGGCACAAGTGGTGGCCTTCACAGATCCCAGGATCTTGTAGACATCCGTCATGGTAACAGGGTCAACAAAACGGTCCATAAATGTACCAGGCAATGTATTAGGTGTTTCTTATGTAGATTCAAGGAGCTGCGGTGGCTCAAGTGGTTAAGACGCTGAACTGCAGGCTGTGGAAGGTCGGTAGTTCAGCAGTCCGAGACCCAAGTGTGCCGCATGATGGAGTGAGCTCCCATCTCTAGTTCCAGCTCCTGCCAACCTAGCAGTTCGAAAGCAAGAAATTGCAAGTAGATAAATAGGTACCACTTCGGTGGGAAGGAAACAGCGTTCCATGCGCCTTGGTGTTTAGTCATGCTGGCCACATGACCACGGAAACGTCTTCGGACAGCGCTGGCTCTTCGGCTTCGAAACGGAGATGAGCACCGCAACCCTAGAGTCAAGGGAACCTTTACCTTTACTTTATGTAGATTCAAGTGATTAAAATTCATACAAATAATTGACTAGTTATGTGTGCGTACTTATCGGACATGTGCAAAGATGCACATGTCTCACACATGCATGAGCCCAGGGTACGCCTCCTTTACAAATCTGGTTTTAGTTTAACTATCACAGGGAATCCTGGGGGTTATAGTCCTGTCTGGATACTGAGCATTCTCTGCCACAGCTTCATTCCCTCCTTACAAAACTGCATTTCCAAGGAGGAGAACTGCATTTTCTATGTTAGATGCCTACACGTAGAAACGTAAAGGGGGATAGAAGGATATTGCTTTACCTGATAGGGAATGCACCATCATTTGTAGTTTCAGGGGATGTTTATCTTTCGCCAGTGAAATCACGAATGCTGCGTGGATTGGGGGTTTGGGGGAGTGTCATAGTCAACAACTGGCGGGACTGAGTGGATATGTTGATTCTGAAGTCGCCTGAGAGTGAGCACCCGTGTTTGTTCTTTCCAGGAAAATGTGAATTTGAATATTTCACAGACATTATTTAAATATTCAGATAGTTTATTTAGATTCACAATTAAAATATTTAAATAACAATGTCAGCAAAAGAAGGCAAGCGTACCGTGCACGACCCTGGACTGTGTACAAGCACAGGGCTTTGTCCACGCCTTGTGTCTCACATTTAGCCCACCTCACATGATTGATTTGCAGCACGGCAGCCCTGATAACTATAGATCAGGCTACCTTTACATAGACGAGGTGGAAAGTTTTCCATGGAAAATTCCGGCATCTGAAACTTTTCTGGGAAATGTCTGCTTTGGAAAAATTCATGCAGAAAATATTCTGCCCCCCCCCCTCGCTGCAAACTCCCAAGTGCGAGTGCCTCCACCTGGTGGATTTTGCAAGGACTTCCCCCACTCCGTCTTAAAATGGGCTGCTGGCAAAGACACACAGGGTTTAGCACCGTGCCTCCGCTCAGAAACACACACTTTGTATTTACAGCTGAAGAGATAAGTTCAGTGCAATCTGAAAGCATGCCAAATGGCACTGCCCACACTGTTTGGTCCTAGTTAAGTTATGCTCCCACCGGTGAGGTGAGTGTCACAGACTCAGCTGCTGTCACTCACATGTAGGTGGTGTCTGGTTCCAAGCAGCGAATGATCAAGGAGATGGTCATGGAGAGCTTGTCAGGCACCTGTGCCGGCATTGCACAGGGCGACTTGGCTCCGGAGATAATGTCATCCACAAAGCTCAGCACCGTCTCTAGGGAAACAGGCAAGACAACTGTTATCGGATGATACAAATAGGAGAAGAGTGAGAGAGACAAAAAGAAAGGGCAGACAAGAACCTGAAGCAGAGGCTCTGCCTCAGATCAAGTGCCTGGATAACACCACGAACTCCAACGTGGAGAAATGAAGGCAGGGAAGGGTGAAGTCCCACCTGAGAACACCTGGTGCTGTCGTCAAAATTCTTTTAACTTTCAAATTCAACTTCAAATGTGACTTTACAGGATGTTCCGGGGATGTGCTGGATTCCACGCCCAACCTGATGACTCCACAAGACAGAGCTCCCACCGGGAATTCTTTTGGGAAATCATGCATAGGGAAGTTCCGGTTTGGATCAGTACGGTAGCACTCCTGTGTGCATGTGTGGTTAAGCCTCCACATCATTTCCCTGACCTGAAAACAGCCCTCTGCTGCTATATGCCCTGCTTAGCCAAACATACTGGCATTGATGGGGGCCCTTGTGTGTTTGGCCCAGGGGGCAAACAATGGAAACCTGGAGCTGTTACAGGTTGAGAATGTGGTGCAGGGGGGAAGGCTTAGCCCAGCCTCTTCTCATACCAGGGCCCCATAAGATGATGCGTAGAGGTTTTTTAAAATGCCAGGAGCTCTCTCTGCAGAATTCACAGCATCTTGTGTAGTTTCACTCTGAGAGTGCCAAGTGTGACAATTAAGAGACTATTTGGTCTAATGCCTTTACACAGATTGTTCACCAGGAAGACCACAGGACACACCGAGAAGAGGCACGGGTCCTCTGGCACTTCACAACAGTTCCACTATATTAGGATCAACAGTTCTCCTGGTCATCCAGTCGAACAGGACTGGTGGAAAGGAATCAGGAACTGGAGTCTTCTTTTCTCTCCCTGTCAGTGTTCCCCCTAAGCTGAGTTAGTGTGAGCTAGCTCACAGTTTTTTAGCCTCCGGCTCACGCATTTTTGTCTTAGCTCAGGGAGGAGGGCTCCAGAGCAAGCTAATTTATGCAGCAGCCAAATCGCCCGCTCACAACTTTAATGCCAGTCGCTCACCAAGTAGAATTTTTGCTCACAAGACTCCACAGCTTAGAGGGAACATTGCTCCCTGTGCAGCTTTTTTTAAAAAATTAACGTTTTAATTAACTTTTTAATTGACTTCCATAAAGTTTTACAGAAGTTCCAACAGAATTAAGATACAGATCCAAAGTTTGAATAATAACGTTTTAGATCTAAGAGCTTGGACTAGCCCAGCTATACAATAAGTAATAATTTTTCTAACAACTTTTTAAAGAAATAAAGTTTTAGAGTTATAACGATATAGGGTATTCACATTACATGAGGGGCTTAAATAAATAAACAAATAAAGCACCTCTGCCTGTTGAACCAATGTGTCCTCGGCGGCCCGGCACTACACCCTCACACCCCATGCACCAATTGAACTGAGTAAGAAGGTAGAGTTTATAGAGAAAGAAGCGTTTTATAGATAGGATTAAAGGGCAGGATGTCGTTTTCAGCAACATAATCTAGGAAAGGGAACCATTTTTCTGTGAAACAAGTTTTCCTAGTGTAGATGCCTGTTTGTAGTAGACGATCAGAGATTTTTTCCATTAATTTGCTCCCCGTCCCTGTGCAGCTTTGAAGGAACTGTACCTCCAGGTGGATGCCAGATGTTGGTACATCTGTTAGAGAAACAGAACAGCTGCAAGCACTGGGTTCAGAATCAGAGGAAAGGCGCACTTCTTGAAAGAAGTATTACGAGTGATCTATGTTATGATGAGATATAATTTACCAGAACATCTACAAACCATTGCTTTGGGAGATATTCATCAGCTAGTAAGACAAGTACGATTTTATTGCTATTATGGGTAGCAAAGATTTGGATGGTGAAACTTTGGAAGGATATTAAAGTTGCTGAGATCAAGTCCTGGGTGAGGAAACTAGGGAAGAATGTGTTTTGGAAAACTTTTGTCTGCAGTTATAGGCTTGGACCCCGATCAGTGTGAGCAGAACCGTGTTAGAAGAAGGTGCCTCTTCCCAAAGCCTTCTTTTCCCCTCAAAATCAGGCTCTGGATGAGTTGACCAGAAAGAACAGCATGTGGGCAAAATGGTAATACTGAGCATTGAGATTTGATTTTCCTTGGGCGCGATCACATGCAGAATTAGCCGTGCCATAGGTGCGAATGCCGGGCGGATTTTAAGGGCGCAATCAGATGGCAACATCTGCCAAGCGTCCCGCTCCCGTCGGCAACCCGTTGTGCTCCGCTGCAGAAATGGAGTAAAAAGACACCGTGGAAAACCCAGTAGCAAATGGGTTTGCTACGGGCCAGGAACGGACTTCCCCCAGAGTGATCGCGCCAGCGTGCTCCCATGGCGTCGAGACAGTCTGATCGGGCCATCCCGACTCCATGGTGTTGTCCCCCCCCCCTGTTTCGGTATGCGCATCATCGCACACTGCGTAGGGAGCACTCGGTGTGGAGCTGCGAATCATCGATCCCTTGTGGAAGCGAACCGGAAATATGCGGCCACCCCCCCCCCCGACTCACCCGCGGTTGTGTGTGATCACGCAGTGGCGGGCCGCCTCCGCAGCTCCCAGGGACTGTGATCGCGCAAATGCGGGTCAAATTCCCACGGAGCAAATAGCCTCGCTCCCCCCCCCCCATTATCTCGCGCGTGTGAACACTGCCCTTATTTGTTTTTAAAGATTGTTTGCGCAATCTTGGGTGAGGGGGAAACAAACCAACCAACGCATGAGCAGGACTCACCAGTTTCCACCTTGGAATGGTCCAAGCGGTCGGTGACCTTCTCCTGGCGGATGAGGTAATCAACAATCTGCACCCCAATGGGGGGCTCCGAATGCTCCCACTCCAGCACCACCAGTGAGCTGCTGGGCTCATGAACAGTGGACAACCTCAGCCTGTGCAGAGAGAGAAAGAGCCAGAAAAGATGTCAGACTAAGAGTGACCCTCTGAGTTACATGCTCGATAGGAGAGAGATGGACAGTGGCCATCCTATGCTGATTTACTCCATTTGAAGCCTACTGATTTCAGTGCATTTGGATTGGACTAACTTGATACAGGACTGGAGTGCAAAAGACAGATTCCCACCGTTATCTATTTCCTTTGCAATCTGGCCCCAGCCTAATCCAATTGAACACCTTGTATATTGGGGGAGGGTGAGGGGAAGAAGGCAGATTTGGCCCAGTGGCTTATAAATGTTAGTCTATGAAGCTTACTGGATGACCTTGGGTCGCTCATGAACTCTATCTACCACACAGGATACACAGTTTGGATAAAATAGGGTAACCTCCTCTGCAACCTACATACCTTGATGGATGGGCAAGAAACAAATCAACAATGTAGAAATGATATTTAATGCCAATAACCTGAGCGGGGCCATCATCTTATTTAAATTTAAAACTGATTACCATTACAAGTGTTTTCAACCGCATCAGTGAAAGATGTGATTAAACAATTTCAGCAAGGAAGTTTTGCCAAACCCTATTCAATTCTTCTCTTTAAAAAGTTCGTCGATATGATCCTCAGAAAAGTTACTATACATTTAGTAATCCATTCTTCTATCTCAGGACTTCAATCTGACTTCCGGTAACACGCGAGGACAAATCTAGCCACAGTTAACAAGTGTGGGATAATATACCTCATTTCCATTGGGAACATGGGTGTATAGCTTCATATAATAATTTCAGCTGCATATGGGAAATCTATACCTGGTACGATTTTTTTTAAAAGGCGGGGCAGTCATCTTTTGTACCCTAACTCTGATATGGAGAGTCTGCTTGAATAGCAGTGGCTTGCAAAATGCATCAATACAAGACCACAGTACAGCAACATACACTGAAAAGTGGTGGTGGTGGGGATAAATAGCACTCTTGGCGTTGGTCCTAAGTGATGGTTCCCTTTGCTTCTGTTGCTCTGAGGGCAAAGTGTGAGGGCCCTCCTTTGTTCTAAGAAGTAGGGTTGCCAGCTCTGGGTTGGGAAATACCTGGAGTTTTCGGGGAGGTGGAACCTGGGGAGGGTGGGGTTTGGGGGAGGGGAGGGACCTCGGCAGGGCATAATGCCATAGAGTCCACCCTCCAAAGCAGGGAGACTCAACTTGGTCGTCTGGAGATCAACTGTAATAGCAGGGGATCTCCTCAACTTGGTCGTCTGGAGATCAACTGTAATAGCAGGGGGTCTCCAGGCACCACCTGGAGGTTGGCAACCCTACTAAGAAGGCTCCCTTCCGCTCAAGGGGCTGCCCCATCTAAGATGCCTTCTGCTGATCGATGAGCCACTTATGTTGGAGGAAATCCCCTCGGGCTGGAGGAGGGCTTCGAATTTTGCTGAGCAGAGGTGGTAGGATCTAGGCTCATGGTGACTAACAGGTAAATACCCCCCCCCCACACACACACACACCTCGGCATCAGGCTTCCAGGCTCACTGTTTAGGCGACCTCAGCAGGGTTTAATGACAGAGTCCACTGTTTTCTCCAGAGGGACTGATCTCTGCTACCTGAAGAGCATTTGTATGTTTGAGTTATCTGTAGCCCTCACCTGGAGAGTGGTAACCATTGTTACCCATTCTCCTCTCCCCTATGAGGGATGTTATGCAACTGAAAATCCCAACTGCCTTGTGGGGGGGGGAGTTTGAGGTGTGGAATGGAGTGAAGTCCAATCAGCTTCCATATGCAAAAGACCAGGTTGTCGCAGCAGTTGTGGTGTGGGCGGGACCCGGGCTTTGCCTTCTGATTGGTGGTGATATATGCTGAGGAGCAGTGCCATCAGCCATACACTAAGGGAGTGCATTTTAGAATTAGAACTTTGGCACCCACTATTCAATTATATATAAGGAGAGATGCTCCCCCTTCTTTGGGGGGTGGGGCCCTGTCTGCAGTCTTTTTCATTGTGATGTTGCTGCAATATTTATTTTATTGATCCATTTATTTAATTCGAACATGTGTAGCCGACCTTTCTGCCTGCCAAAGCCCTCAAGGTGGCTCTACGCAGAACGCCGTGCCCATAAAACATGCACATAAAATACCATAAAACCCCATAAAAAGGTCAGCAGTAAAAGTACATTACGTAGTATAGCCAGCAAGCGGGATCCAGAATAAAGCCGGTTATGTCAGCCCCCAAATGCCTGGTTTGAATAAGAAAGATTAGCCGAGGCCTTCAAAGGCCCCCGCAGGACTGGAGATGGCACAGCAGTGGACTAAATCCTCCGTACAGGCAAGGCTCTGGTGTTCTTGGAACAGAATGTTCCCGTCTCCCCCTCGCCTGCTGAAGCCGGCTTATCTCCCCCAAAGGCCACTCCTGGGTAGGCTTGCCAGGCCCCCGGTGGAGGCGCAGGCCCCCCCGCTGCCAGGCCCTGCCCCCCAGCTGGCTGGTGGGGGAACGTACTTGGAGAAAGAGAAAGGCCTAGGCCTCATTCTCCACGTCACATAGGAAGTGACATCATCCCATCAGCGACGTTCAGGCAACACTATGCATTTGGGCAAAAACTCTATGGTAGCAGCCAGTTTTACTAGAGAGTTTTTGCCTAAATATCAGAGCTTCACAGTGACGTTGCAGCGTGGTGATGTCACTCCCTGTGTGACAGCGGCAAAGAGGCCTGGACCCTTCTCTTTCTCCAGGTAAGTCCCTCCCCATCCCCCGCCGGTTGCAAAAAGGGACCTAGCAACCCTACTCCGGGGGGACAGGGGACCCTCAGGGACCACATGAGAGGCAAGTCGGGCATCTGCTGCAGAAAGAGGCAATTTCTGCAAACTACCCCACCCATTCCTTTAGTGGAACATTTAGCCTGCAATCTACCCCCAGGACTGGAGTTGAGCCTCTTCAAGGGACCAGAAATGGGACGAGGTCGGCTTCTGGTCTCAGAAAGGGATGTGCAAACCGGTTCCTGTGTTTCAGTGAGACATTCTGCTTTTCCATCCCTGGACTTAGATATCCTCAGGAATATCATGAAGGGCTCAGAGTGCCTCCATGGACTGTGGCGCCTAATCAGACGTGCACTGGTATGCCCTTAGGGTTGCCAACATCCAGGTGGGAGATTGAGACCTCCTGGAATTACACCTGACCCCAAGACTACACAAATCACTTATTTTTTTCTTTATCTAAAACACATAGTCCACTTTCCCTGGAGAAAATGGCTGCTCTGGAAGGTGGACTGCATGGCCTTATACTCTACCGAGGTCCCTCCCTTCCCTAATCTCCAGCTATATCTCTATACGGAGTTTGGCAAGCCTAATGCGCATCTAACTGAGAAATTTACTGCTTTCAGTGGGGTGCATATATGAATGCTCGTTTTTCCAGGCACACCCCTTTGTGCTTCCAGAGAGCCAGTTTGGTGTCATGGTTAAATTAATCTGGGAGCACTGGGCTTGATTCCCCACTCCTCCTCTTGCACCTGGCTGGATGACCTTGGGCAAGCCGTAGCTCTGATAAGAGCTGTTCTTGAAAAAGAGCAGTTTCTGTCAGAGCTCTCTCAGCCCCACCTACCTCACAGGCAGTGTTCCCTCTAAGCTGAGTTAGTGTGAGCTAGCTCACAGTTTTTTAGCTTCCGGCTCACAGATTTTTGACTCAGCTCAGGAAGGATGGCTCCAGAGCAAAGTTTGTAAGCCGCTCTAAGACACCTTTGGGTAGTGAAGGGCAGGGTATAAATCCAAACTCTTCTTCTTCTTCCTAACCCTCCCCCAAGTAGCTGATGCAATACTGTCCAACCACGATAACTCTCCTTTGCCTGGCTTGCCAAAGAATTTACACATGCAGCCACCTCACGGACTTTCCCGTGCTGCTGGACATCAGACATAAGAAGGCTGGGGATAATCGTCTGCATCGAGGCAACTATAAAACCTGGGTCAGAAACTGAACCCGTTGGGATTACTGCAAAAAGGTTCCAGAGCGAGTCCTCAATTGAAGATACACGCAAGAAAGCGACCTCTGGATATAGCCCTTAGGGCTTTAGAGGTCAAAACCAGCAATGCCTTGAATTGTGCTTGAAAACTAAATGGAAACCAGCACTTGGCTATCCCATTTTGTTCGTGAGTCTGAAGTGGCCAAGCTTCATTCCTGGTTGGCTGGATCTAGAGGCTTCCTGACTGGCTGCGGGTCACAAAGAGGCCTCCTGAGAGACATGCCTGGTTTCTAGTTGATAATGGGGTTCCTAGCAATGTTCCCTCTAAGCTGTGCTGTTCTGAGCAAAAATCTACTTTGTGGGCTACTGTCAATAAAGTTGTGAGCAAGCGATTTGGCTGTTGCACAAATTAGTTTGCTCTGGAGCCATCCTTCCTGAGCTAAGACAAAAAAGTGTGAGCCAGAGGCTAAAAAACTGAGCTGGCTCACAGTAACTCAGTTTAGAGGGAACACTGATTCCTAGTCCTCCTAAATCTATGGGATCATCTCAAAATCCCTAAAATCAGAAAAGAATTGACATCAACTATGTTAACAGGGGCTAAAAACCTTATAGCACTTAAATGGAAGAGCAAAGACCCCCCCCCCCCCAGAAGTATAACACTGGTATGTTAAGTGATGGGACTATTTCATTTTAGTTAGAACAGATGTATCCACTTACCAACCTAATCTACTGGAGAAATGGCTCCCCTTTATGGAAAGCATTCTTAAAATTAACTATCATGATGCCCCTTTGTTACCAGCTAGTGATTATTCATTGTTAGCATTACATTAATAGCTGTTTATAGCTTTTTACTGAAATTATCAACAATTGGTTGTCATGGATTATACATCAAAACTGTATAATAATGGTCGCCCTAACTATTGTTTCCATATAGTAATAATTCAATGTCTAAGTTATTTTTTCTGTAATCCCTTATTAATAAAATAAAAATTATACTTTAAAAAATGGGGTTCCTAGCCCATATTTTCATCTTCATACTTTGGATCTCTTCAGATTCCTCATTGGAATTTCTCCTTGTAAAACTTCCATGTTTCTTATATGCTTCCATATCCTGGGAATTCTGAGAAGTGCCCTGCAGAATCAAGGGGAGTTTTGGGGTTCTCCCACAAGCAGAAAATGCTTCAAGTTGCTATGCAGGTTGAGAAACAGGATTTGATGCAGGCTTCTAAGGGCCACAGTAGATGAGACCCTGGTAGGTCTGTGAGAGATCCTGCGCAGTGGTTTCTAAAATGTAAATGACAGCTGCAGGGGGTGCCCTGCTTATTTCAGATCTTGCTTCCTTCGCACAATTCTGTAGATCCAAACTTCCTTTCCTGGAGATGGTGCCTATCCTTTCCCCCTCTTCTGAATCTAACAATACCACAGGGGGACAGGGACAGGTTTGATCAGCAAAACTGTATATGGAGGAAAAGGTTATATCAAAAGGATCTGACTCCCATACCACAGCCTCAGTATGACGCCCCTCCCCAATGTCTGCAATATACCTTTTTAAAAATAAACTGGGCAGATCCATTCTGTGGACCTCAATGGTACAGAAGGAGTCTATAAGGAGACACAGCAGGGTTTCGGTGCATTTTTAACATAAAGAATGATGGTAGAATGGACTATATAAATCAAATCTGCAGCAGTGACAACAGCAATAGTAGAAGAAAAGAAGAAGTGAAGAGTCCTACTGTAGATTGTGCGTGCATTGGTTTGAAGAGACATTCAGCAAAATCTTAGTTCTGCAAGGAGAGGGGGGGGGAAAGGGACACACGTACACGGGGTGTGGGAGGGGTGCACAGGCCGGGAGGCCATCAGCACCGAAGGCACTTGAGTCGCACCGACACCAGTCCTCGATAACATCCCCACTGCCCGAGCACCACAGGGAACTCATGGTAGCCTCTTGCAAGAGCTGAGAATCAGAGAGAGAGAGAGAGAAAGAAAGAGAGCACAGGAGGAGTGTCAGGAGCACATAGGAAGGTTGAACCAAAACAGATTCCCCACCTCACCCCAGTTTGCGGGCTTATTTGTGAAACCCCTTCCTCTTTTTGGGGGAGCAGCTACCAAATGGGAGAGGTCCATCTGGTGGCCCTCATGGTTGCCCTAGTGGCAGCGGGGGACCGTGCTCATTGCTGCTGCTCAGGACCCACCGTTTTTTCCACCAGAGTCACTACACCACAGTAGCAGTTCTCCTACAGAGAAGCTTCAAAGGGAGATTATAATGCAAGATTGTGGAACCGGAACTCCTTAACAAGTTCCATGCACACACTCCCTCTCCAGGCCTGAATAAGGACATAACATTCTTATCACGTTACAGAGGCTCATTTTCTGCACCCTCCACCTCTACATACATCTCCCAGCTCAAATCAAGCTGATTATGTTTGGCATTGTACCTCTGCACCCTGACTCCAATTGGCCTTTCTTGGTAACATCCTCCCACCTTTACATCTGGATATAAGCGCTGATGGATCTGCAGTCTTACCTGCAGGGGTCATTTCGTAGAAAAAGAGGTGCAGGAGCTCATTAGCATAACTCATTTGCATATGCCACACCCCCTGATATCACCAGAAGTGTGTCAGAAGGCAACACCCACTGCTCAGGCTCCATTGGACTGTTTTGGATTGCTAGCTATTGGGGGGGGGCATGCAGATCTGTCCTCGCAGAGGAGGGAGAGCTTGTACCTGAACAAAACTTGGTCTTAAAGGTGCCACTGGACTGTTTTGAACTGGGGGGCTGGGGGGGGACTATGCACTTACCTGGCTGCGTCTTGCTCTGACTGAGGGCTGCTGGGAGCAGGGGGTGGGGCTTCTTGCATGTGCCCGCCCCCTGGGCTCTTTACTGCTGGAGCTCCGCTCCTGTGTGCTCCTGCAGGAAATGACCCCTGCTTACCTGTATCAGCCAAGGTGTGCTTGGACTCATGAAAACTTATATCTGAGAAAATGCTGTTGGTCTGTAAGGTGCTACTGGACTCGTATTTCGCTTTACTGCTATAGACTAACACGACTACCCACCTGAAACCATGCCAGAGTGGGAGCAGGGACCATTGCCCTTGCTCAGGTTTGGCTTCAAGCGGATGTCAGGTAGTCATTGGCATGGAGCTGCATGAAAATGCTGTGCAGTGGCAAGAAGGGCTGCCGCTGCAAGAACTGAGAGTAGGAAGCACAGAAGGAGCATGCAAGGAGCCTTCCACGGCTCCTGTCACCCTGCAAGCCCCCCTTTAGCCTGGGAATGGTTTGCTTTACTGCCTTGGGCTCAGTCTTGCCTCCTCCCCAGACTATTGAGGAAGACCTAGATGTGAAATATCACTCGAGGACAGCCAGGCAGCTCTGCCCGGTCTCCTAACCTGAAGCCAGTCATCACTCATCCCATGCCTTGGCCCCTAGTCACATCTGCTGAGAGTCTGTATTTATAACTGCTCTCTTATTTACTTGTTGCAGTACTTGTTTAATACAGTGTTTCTTGTTTACTCTGTCTGGGTCCTCCGCCTCATATTCAGTCGTCCATCAGGGCATGCCCTGACTGAATAGGGGGTAGCCTGGGGCACAGGGTGGTTACTTTGGCCCCTCTCCAGTAAAGCCCTAGAACAACAGTAGTGGCAGCCAGCTAAGGCCTTTGCCTATTCCAGGGCTGAAGGGGGCAGGAGGAAAGGAGGGTAGGTGTGGAAGGAATGTCCTGTCTGTGGCCAACCCTGTCCCAGTCTTTGGCAGTGCATTCCCTGAAAATCAGGGCAGCGGTTCCCTATTTCTGAACAGATCAAAGCAGCGTGTGGATAAGAAATTCATTTGTTAACACGGGCTGTTGACAAGCTGTTGTATGAGCAACCAGTGCAGACTGGCTGCTAATTCACTTTGTAGTGTTTTGAGGTTCCTGGATCTGTCTTAAGAGGAAGACACGTATATTCAAAATATACAGGTATTCTACGGAAATGTGTTATAAATACCCAGGGAAAAGATCTCTGCAGAATTAGGGAACACCAGCTGTCCCCTTTTCATGTTCGTTCTGTGAGTTGGCGCCACCCTGTTTTATCAGCTTTCTGTTTTAACTGGGGAAATGTCTAAAATTAATTTTGAAATTTTCATGTGTGCGGTTCGCTGTAGCTTCAGTTCTCTTCTGTCTTGGAGCCAACCCAAAATGGCTCCAAGGAGCCACTGTATGTCCCATTGGAGGAACTTGTGCATAGCCTCCAGGTCAAGAAATCAGCAGATGTGTACATGAAGGGCTTAAGCCCCCTCTACCTGTGTGCCATTGTCCCAATCCGAACTGGGCTCCTGTACTTCTGGGAATGAAGCTCCATGCATGGAACACCCTGAACATGTCCATCAAATAGACATGAGTAGGACTTGAGGAATCTGTAGTTCCTGAAATGACCCTGAAACTGTGGGAAACTGCATATGCAGAGCAGTTTGAATGAAGGCCAGACATTTTTAAAAGCACATTTCACAAACAAAGGTCCTTTTTGCACTTAATCCATGTTCACTGCTGTGTCCTCCAAGCAATTCTGCACTAAAAGCAAATTCAACCTTCTTTTTAATCCAGTTTTTTCTCACCATTCTGCACTAAAGTCGAGTTCAACCTTCTTTTTATTCCAGGTTTTCCCCCCATTCTGCATTACATCACCTCCCTTCAGTGGTCAGCCCAGTTTCAGCCTGCGGTTGCCCCGGGTTATTTGGATGCTGTTTTGCCATAGACTTAAATTGCCTCAACTTGAATTCTGAGAAAATCTGGAGTGGCAGGCAAATGCAGAAAGGACCAAAGTCAGGTAATGTGGAGACTCAAAATCCAAAGAGACATTTTTCTGGGGAGAATTTCAAAAACATCCCTCCACAGAATTTAGCACCCAGACAATCCTGGGGTTTTTAAAAACTCCATTCATAGCCCTTTTGCTTTAAGACTAAAGACTGGGAATGTTTCCAATGTTTCCCTATGTGGCTCTCCCCTCTCCGGCACACTCAGGACTTCTCCAGAACATAATCCTGGTTGCTCTTTTTGTAGCAGGAACTCCTTTGCATATTAGGCCACACACCCCTAATGTAGCCAATCCTCCAAGAGCTTACAGAGCTCTTCTTACAGGAGCTACTGGAAGCTCTTGGAGGATTGGCTACATTAGAGGTGTGTCGCTTAATATGCAAATGAGTACTTGCTACAAAAAGAGTCCTGCCTGGTTGTATGAAAACCTGAATTGTTGAGGAGACATCAGACTTAGAAACCTTTTTAGGAGCTCCAACTGATGCTGAAGGAAGACGCCCCAACCCCCAGTCATCAGCCACTCACCCTCTGAGTCTGATTGTTGGTGACCAGCTCGTAGATGGGGGCTGCTTTGGTGACCTCCAGCAGGATGGGCTCAGCAGAAGAATCGGGGCTGGAGGTCACGTGGCACAAGGGGCAGGAAGAGGGGCAGCGGCCCCTGCTTTGGCACTCCATACGCACGCCGGCTGCCATGCGTTTGGTGCCCGATTCAGACAGGCTGGCGATGTATTCAGGGAAAGTGAGGACTCGGGGGTCTCTGTCACGCTCCTCAGACTCATCCGAGGGGGAGTTACCTGCAAGAAACAAGATTGGGAAGAATCACAAGAAGTCACAAAGCACCCTTTAACGTTCCCATTAAGATTGGGTAGGAGCATCATTTAAACTGTCCAGGTGGGACTGGAGTTCCTGTCTCCAATACCAGTTCTCTGAGCTGCAAATTTGATTGGGGGGGGGGGGATTATCATATAGCCCCGTCTTCACCCTTATCACAACAAGTCATTTGCAAGAAGGTGGACAACTCTGGTCAAGCAAAACACTAGAATTCTCATGTGGATAAAAGACTAGTTAATACATCATTTGAAAAAAGCATAGTCACGGGGTAGACTTCCTTATCAGGAAGAATCAATGCACGAGGGTGTCATGACTTGACATCTCAGAACACAGAAATAAAAAGATGGAAACTGCAACCCCACGTTCTCTGAAATCCAATGTGCCTTTCCATTTGGAGCATACTTACTCTACCAGATTCCTTTTACACCATCTGTTCCAGCTGTCCTGGAAATAATTCTGAGAGTTGGGAACTCTCTGCGAGAAATCCCTTCCCTCCTTTTTTTTGCCATCCAGTCAAGCTGACTTATGCCGACCCCTAGTGGGGCTTGAAGGCAACTGGACATTCAGAGGTGGCTTCCCAACGCCTGCCTCTGCCTCCCAGCCCTGGTATTCCTTCGAAGTCCCCCATCCAAATACTAGCCGGGGCCGGCCCTGCTTAGCTTCCGAAATCAGACTAGGCTCGGTGAACCAGGACAGGGCCCCTAACCTCCTTTTTTGCTACTCTTTTACAAAATTTGGAAAAAAAAAATCAACCTTGTTTCCCTCTTACTTTTTGTTTTAAAAAAGCCCTGTAAACAAAACATGTCCAGCTCTTTAACCCCCCTTCTGCACGACCTGCCCGTCACGAACATCTACCATCTAAATTGTTGCTGAATAACTGTCTTCTTGATATCCTTCCTGGAAAGCTACATTTGAAACTCAACCCGCTATTGCCCACACCGGTAACTATCCTGATAGCCACACAACTCCATTTCCTTCCAAGCCTTGAGATGACCCTTCTGCCAATAAAGCCTAACAAACGGAATTGGGTTTTCACATCACAGTGTCGCATGGTTGACAAGCTGCCTGCTGGAACAAAACGGCGGACTGCCCTGAGCACAAGCAGGGCTGGTTCAATGTGTTTTGTCACTGTGGGCGAGGGACGCCTCTCCCCTTCCTGGTCTGAGCCACGAGCAGCCGGGGCCAAGCTTGGTGGTGGTGCAGGCCCTGCAGGCGATATCAGTCACCACCCATGCCACTGGTGCCTGGGAGACAGCTGAACCCCTGTGGAGCATCGGCACCAACTTCCCTGTCTCACTCCGAACAGTCACTTGGATGATTTGGCCAGAGAACTGGCCCTGACTAGAATCAAAGGTGGGGAGGGAAGATTCTAAGAGCAAAAATCAACTCAAGTATGCCTTACTGTGGACTCTTGGCTAAGGATGTTCAAATATCCTTGATCCTTGCTTTTATTCCTCACGCTCTCAGAATATATTTGCCTATACGGATAAAGATCCAAAACAGGCAGCAAAGTCGCTAAATGTCAGATTTGCAGGGACAACGGTTTGGAAACAGTGGCTTCGGTTTGACATTTGAAGCACGGTGTTTTTGAATGGGGAAATGAGGCCCAAGGGGGGCATAAGGAGAGTTTGGTCCTGCATTTTTAAAGTTCGAATGGGGAACAATGTGGAGTTATAGCAATTATACAAGAATGGTTTGGGTCAGCATTTGGGAAGATCGACCCTGATTCAGTTAAAGTCACATGGCTACATGAAGCAGTCTTATCCCCAAGTCAGGTTCTAGGCATCTCAAGGTCAGTCTTTGCCTACTTCAAAATGCGGTGGCTCTCTTGGGTTTCAGGTTGAGGTCTTGCACATCATCTGGTGGTGGAAAGTGTGTGTCAGGTCATAGCTAAGGTATGGCAAGCCCATAGGGTTTGCAAGGCAAGAGACAAACAGAGGTGGTTTGCCACTGCCTGCCTCTGCATAGCATCCCTGGACTTCCTTGGTGGTCTCCCATCCAAGTGCTAACCAGGGTGGACCCTACATAGCTTCCAAGATCTAACAAGTCTGGGCTCGCCTGGGAAACCAGGTCAAGTGTTCACATCATCTACATAAGAACATAAGAGATGCCAATGTTGGATCAGGCCAAAGGCCCATCCAGTCCAACACTCTGTATCACACAGTGGCCAGAAATACCAGGTGCCATCAGGAGGTCCACCAGTGGGGCCAGGACATTAGAAGCCCTCCCACTGTTGACCCCCCCCAAGCACCAAGATGACAGAGCATCACTTGCCCCAGAGCCCCTATCTATACCTTGTGACTAATAGCCACTGATGGACCTCTGCTCCATATGCTTATCTCATTCCCTTTTGAAGCTGTCCATGCTGGTAGTTGCCACCACTTCCTGTGGCAGTGAATTCCATGTGTTAATCACTCTTTGGGTGAAGAAGTACTTCCTTTTATCCGTTCTAACCCGTCCGCTCAGCAATTTCATGGAGTGCCCACGAGTTCTTGTATTGTGAGAAAGGGAGAAAAGTACCCCTTTCTCTACCTGCTCGTTCCCATGCATAATCTTATTCACCTCGATCATGTCACCCCTCAGTTGTCGTTTCTCCAAGCTAAAGAGCCCTAAGCGCCTTAACCTACTACTCTGAACTGGAGATTCTGGAGCCTGAACCTGGGACCTTCTGCACACAAAGCAGAGGCTCTACCACTAAGCTACAGCCCCACCCTAACTAAGCCCCACAGAAATTGATTGAACAAGTTAATTACGAAGAGTAGATTACTAGGGGACTCGGGGATGACCAGTTATGGCATTTCTTCACGTAAGGAACAACGAGGGTTCAAAAACCAATGGTTCGGATACTCCAAAAATGGTACATTCAGTCGGTATTCAAGGGAGGGGAAACAGAAATAAACCGAGAAAGGAAATGGCAATAAAGCTGCCTATAATCAGGTGACCACTAGATGGTGGTGTGAAATCACAGTTTGTGACAGGTCGGGGAGTCTGAGATCTCTGTGGCAGGTCAGATGGGACAACTTTGCTTTTGTCCTCAGTGGCCGTAACAATGTGCCGATGTTTAGATCAGAACCACAAAGTGAACGTGCTGCAGGCGTGGTTTTTAGTCAGCAAAAGAAGGGTGCTCAAATCGGGCCAAATCTCCAGTGACAACAGTGCTTTCTATTACTCCTTCAGCGTTTAATGGTCCAGTCAAATAATACCACATACAGAGTTGCTACTTTGAAAGAAAACAAATCCCGACTCTGTTCCTTTAATAGGAATACGACAGACGGTGAGGGCAGAATCAGGAAAAAGGGAACAAAGGATGACAAAACCATGGACCTGCCATGACTGAGCTCATTGACACCTGAGTCAATCGACACCCCTAACTGGATGGCCTCAGTGGTTTTGCTTAAAGCGTGGCTTGGACACCATGCTGCACAGCTTTGCATCTGCTCCGTAACCAGTGGCAGTACAGGGACATAGCCAGGTTGTGCTTTGGTAAACAAGCTGCCACCTTTTCAACTGGCCCCCTCTACTTGCCCCTTTAATATCAGTTTGATTTGTGGCAATTCTCAGGTTATTTAGCTCCAGGGCTATTTTTGGGCAGGAACGCACAGGAACGGAGTTCCGGCTGGCTCCCGAGTTGGCCACGCCTAGCAGGAACTCATTAGCATAATAGGCCACACCCAGCAGTAGAAACTTATTAGAACTGGCTACATTAGGGGTGTGTGGCCTAACATGCAAAGGAGTTCCTGGTACAAAAAAAGGCCCTGGGTTTTGACAACAAACAAGGTAAACAGAATAAGAAGGGAAAGGGGTGTGTTGACCACACTTCTGCGAACATGGGGTGTGTAGCTTAATATGCTAATGAGCTTTGCTGTCAGGGGTGTGTCCTAATAAGCAAATGAATTTCTGGTGTTGGGTGTGGCCTATTATGCTAATGAGTTCCTGCTGGGCTTTTTCTACAAAAAGAGCCCTGTAATAGCTCCATGCTGTGAAAAGCTTTAGCTGCTCGTTTCTGCAAATTAAGCTTCTATTAAAGGGACAGGCTAGCTGGGAATCCTAACTGTGGTGTCCAAATAGCCCTGCAACACCCTGAGCCAAGGGGTCCAACTGGGTGAGCCCATGCCCATTCTCGGCACTGCTGCAACCTGAATTGGGGCTGAGTGGCCATTCTGGCACTGTCAGCCCATCGAGGGCTGTTTGGTTCCGCTTGTTCCTGCCCTTCAGTGGCTGCCAGGGCAGCATCCCGCCAGGAAATCCCCCTGTAAGGCAAAGGGCCAGTCTACCCCGGTCAGTGGGAGAAACTAGTTGAGGGAAAAGAGGGCAGAAGCTCTCTGGACACAGTTGTTGGGCACCAGCTTGTGTCCAAGTAAGCCTGATGGGGATCTTGGGGAGGCCACTGCTCAGTGCTAGAGCATCTGCCCTGTATGCAGAAGATCCTGGGTTCGATCCCTGGAATCTCCAGTTAAGGGGATCTGGTAGGGTGTGATGTGAAAGATGTCAGCCTGGGACCCTGGAGAGCTGCTTCCACAGAATAGAACCATAGAGTTGGAAGGGACCTCCAGGGTCATCTAATCCAACCCCCTGCAGGATTTTTCACAAATACACAGCTGTTCCAAGCTGAGAAGATGACAAAAAACCTCCAGGATCACTGGGGCCAAACCAGCCAGGAGAAATATTGCTTCCTGACCCCCAAGTAGCAATCAGCATTTCCCCGGGGGTGTAAGAAAGGGCCACAAGAACTAAGCACTGAGGCAACCCTTCCTGCCCTCCCTCTCATGATCTGCCTAAGTTCACAGTCCAAGGTGGACTGTGCTGACCTTGATAGACCAAGGGCCCAATTTGGTGAAAGGCTTCCGTCAAGCAAACAAAAACAGTGGGCTGCCACTGGCACAAGATATGTGACTGCAATCAAACCGCAGGTGGTCAATTGACATCATTCGACCTGCCTCCCAGCTCTGCTGCTGCGTCCTGC